AAGGGTGCATTAGGACTTGCCATTATTTTGTGTTAGTAAATTGCAAGGTGGTGGATCACTTTCCAGCTGTGCGGGGTGTTGGGCAAGGGGACCCTCTCTCCCCTTTTCTCTTTACCCTAATTGCTGAAGTGCTTAGGAGGCTTATTGAGACGACTGACTCTAGAAATCTGATAAGTGGTTGGAGAGTGGGGAGGGATAGGGTTCCGGCCACTCACCTTCAATTTACAGATGACACAATTCTGTTTTGTGATGGAGAGGAGATTAGCTGGGTGTGCAATATGAAGATGGTGATTAGGGTGTTTGAACAAATGACCAACCTCAAGGTAAATCTGGGTAAGAGCTGTGTGATTGGTATTAATATGAGTGAGGGAGAGGTGGAGGAAAGGGCTCGAGTGCTAGGATGTGAGATAGCTCATTGGCCACGAAGTACTTAGGGCTTCCTTTGGGAGACAATCCTAGAAAAAGGAGCTTTTGGAATCCAGTGATTGACAGGTTCACTAAAAGGCTAGCTTCCTGGAAGAAGAACTACTTGTCTCTGGGGGGCAGGATAACACTGATTAAGTCAACTTTGGCAAACCTTCTAGTATATTTCTTGTCGGTGTTCAGAATCCCAGAAGGAGTTTGTAAGGAGTTGGAAAAATTAATGAGGGGCTTTTTATGGGAACCTGGGGAGGAGAGAAAGGACCATAGAGTTAGGTGGGATCTAGTTACAAGACCTAAAAGTGAAGGGGGACTGGGGCTGGGAAATCTGCGGAAGAAGAATGAAGCTCTTTTAGGGAAATGGTTATGGAGATGGTCCAAAAAAAAAGAAAATTTGTGGGCTAAAATAATCCTAAGTATTCGTGGGCAAGAGGCAGATGGCTGGGATCCGAGACTATCATCTAGGGCTTCAAAAGCCTCCCCTTGGAAGTGGATTCATGCTGTCCTGCAGTCTTTTCTTCCATTTATCAGGTACGATCTTGGTTGGGGGATTTTCCCTTGAAAGAGCAGTTTCCCTCTTTGTTTGCTTTGTCTAGGTTTAAAAATGAACTAGTAGCAACATTTGCTAACTTGTCTAATTCCGCTACTGGTTGGAACTTGGGTCTTAGAAGGGTTCTCAGAGATTCTGAGTTGGAACCCATTTGGAATCTGCTTAAAATCTTGGATGAGGTAGTCCTTAAACCTTCCATTGTGGACTCCAGGGTGTGGTCTTTTGTTCCCTCGGGTATCTTCTCATGCTCCTCCTTCAAAGCATTGGCACAGTCTAGTCCGGTACCTGGGCCTCCTTTTCCAGTCCGGGAAGTTTTGGGGTAGCCCCATCCCTCCTAGGGTAGGTGCTTTTTGTTGGGAAGCAATCCTAGAAAAGTATAACACTTGTGACCTACTTCAAAAGAAAAGGTCTAATTGGTGTTTATCCCCACACTGGTGCATCTTATGTAAGAAGAATGGTGAAAGCTGCTATCACTTGCTTGTCTCTTGCCCTTTTGTTTCAGATATTTGGTGTTGGTTCTTTTCTTTATTTGGTTGCAGGTGGCCCTCCCCTTCAAGTGTGCAAAGCTTGTTCAGCTCCACTCCAGTGAAGGGTCTAAAGAAGAGAGATAAAATTTTGTGGAGATGCGCTAGAGCTGCTGTTTGCTGGACGGTCTGGGAAGAAAGAAATCAAAGATTATTTCATGAAAAAGAGAAAAGCAAGGAAACCCTCACAGAACTTGTATATGTCAGGGTGGCTCATTGGGTCAAGTCTTTGAAGCTTTTTGAAGCCTATTCAGTAGGATACATCATTAGAAACTGGGAAGAAGTGGCTCGGTCATCTTCTATGTCTAGTGATATCAGACCTGTTTGGACTCTACCAGACTTGGGTTTCTTCAAATTGAACTTCGATGGTAGTAGTGAAGGAAATCCAGGCCCTTCAGGCATAGGTGGTATTTTCAGGAACGAAGAAGGGTGAATTATTGCTATGTTCTCAGGACCTATAGGCTGGGGGGATTCTCTGAGAGCTGAAATCCTAGCGGTTGTAGAAGGAGTCAAAAGGGCTAAGCAGCTGAATATTAGCAAGTTGCTGGTGGAAGGTGACTCCCAACTGACTGTTAGATGGTTGCAGATGGAAGAGTCCAGCATGTGGAAGTTCTCAAATGAAAGAAAGAAAATCAAGCAACTAACTCAGAACATGACTAAGGTTTCAATGGGCTAAGAGGAGTACCAACTCCATGGCTGACTCCTTGGCTAAACAGGGGGTGGGAAGATCTAATTTGTTTTGGGCTATTCTGTAATATGTTTTTTCGGGTTTGAAAGGGAGGGTTAAGACATTTTACCCCTCCTTTCTGGTTGTATCTTACATATCTCTTTTAATAAAAGTGCTGTTAGATAAAAAAAAACAATATGACTTCCAACTCACTGGAAGTAGAGGGAGATTCTAAGTTGATCAGCACTTGGGAAAAAGGTTTATGCCCTGCCCCTTGGTATTACAGACATAGTTTCAGAGCAATAGATTGTCTATCGAGGGAGTTAAACATCTCCTACATGTCGGTTAGAACTACTGCAAATGGGATGGTGGATGGATTAGTAAAACAAGGGGTGAATAGAAGTAAACTTTTTTGGGCACTGGTGTGAATCCCAAGTTTCTTCTTGGGTGTATGGAAAATCTCAATTTGTTGTAGGAACTCTTTAATTCTATTAGTAAAATCACTTTGCTGATCCAAAAAAAGATAAGTGTACTTCAAGCAACTTTTAGTAGATGTTTATTTTTCTCCTTTTAGCAAATACCATTTCGTTAGGCAGTTTGGGGACATTAATTTTGGTGTAAGATACCTCTTTGGCTCTTTCAGCAAGGAAGCAATTCAAGTCACAATTGAAATTGTCTTTGGCATTGTTTGAGAATAGAATTTGAGCTTCTACACGTAATTGAGTAAGGAGTATCCAATGAAAAATTTGAACAATTTTGGGATCATTCACCTGAAAATAATCTTTGGCATTGTTGGAATATAGAATTTGAGTATTTTTGGTCCCTTGATTTGCCAACTCTCTTTGTGAACTATTTTGCCTGTGAACAAGGTAGTGCCTGAAATGGGGTGAATATCCGTTATATTTTGTTTTCTATGTTTTAATGGATTAGTAAAATGTTATTAGAGTGGTCTAGTAGTTTTGAGTCCTTCTTAAGTGTTTGTATGGATTACTTATGTATTTGTTTTAGTTTTAAAATGACTAGAAGTTATTTTGGGTCAGTTTCCTAGTCCAAATGGAGTCTGAAAAGGGACATTCGTGTTAATAATTTGAGTCTATAAATCGAGTCAGTGTAATAGGAGTTCAAGAAGAGTTGATTTGATGAAATAAAGATTTGGTTTAGTGCTTCTTAGTATTTGCCAGAAATTTCTTTATTTTTTCCCTCTTGCTCTCTTATTTCATCTTCTAAGCGTTTTGTCTCTTTGCCGTTTACCCTAACAGCAAGTGTTATCCTCTCTCATTCTATGTTCTTGCTCATTCTTTGGTGGACAGCAAGCTATTGCTTACTTTTCTACCCTTAATCTTCTCCCTTGCTCACTCAAAACACCTATCCCATAAAGCCCACCACTAGATCCTAAATTAGTTGGACCCCTACCCTGTCCCCATAGTTTTTCAGGCGCCAAGGCGAGGCTAGGCGGCAGGGGGTGCCTTGTTGCCTAGGTGGGCGCCTAGGTGATGGCTAGGCGATGGATTTTTTTTTTTTTTGAAGGAAAACCATATATCCTAGGGTAGTTCCCTAGGTTCCATAACCATCTTTCCTTCATAAATATCCATAATTTTCATAAGAGAAGTATACATTTCATGTTTTAAGTTTAGAAAATCAACATTTTATGAGAAGAAAAGGAACAAGGGAAAGAAAATTCAAAAAATATAGGGGCTGAACCCCTACTTCTGTTATAGGAAAAGAAGAAAAGAAAAGGTGGAAGAAGATCTAGAAGAAGAAAATGTGTTGATTGGACAAAATTTCAAGTTCTTCCCTTGCTAATTGGTTCAGGTTCTGAAATCATTGAGGATTCAATCAAGGATCAAAACTTTGATACGATACGCTCCGTATTGGGTGTTTTGTATTGTATCTTTGGTGCCCCAATTCACATGTTTACAGGTGTTTTCGGGAACTTATTTTTTAAAATAATATATATATATATATTTAAAAATGAAATTGAAAACCAAAGAAATAAAAAAATAGGGGAGTATCATTATGAGTACTGATACACCTCTGCTGATACATAGAGGTGTATCAATACTTTGAACCATGCACAATACAGCAGTTAGCATTGTTTGTGTTGATTAAATCCTAACAAATAAGAAAATAATTAAAAGAAATTAGTACATTAACACATAAAATGAGTATTCTAGTTTAATAATGCCTATTTTATAATTATAATGTCAAAACATTGAAAATATAAAAGTATTTTATTACATAGTGCACAAAACTACTTGGTGACTGGGTGAGGCGAGCCTCCAAGGGCACTTGTCTAAGCATCGCCTTGACAACTATGCCTGTCCCATGTACTGTATTACAAAACATGCCAAACATCCTTATTTTAGGTTTGCAAAAGCCTTCTAACCCTATCTGTCGTTATTTACATTTAATACACTAAAAAGGACCCCCCCCCCAAAATATATATATATATATATATATATATATATATATATATATATACTGATCTTTCCCCTTGCTTGGCCATAGCATCATCCAAATTGTTAACCTGATAGGATCATTTAATGCATCTTACTACATGTTAAATCTCTCAGAATTATCCTAACAATGATATAACTGTGCGTAATGCCTATGATCCTATCATAATGCAGGGCCATTGATAGGAATATTGATATGGACATTTTTAGTTATTATTGCTCACTAGGAAATGAGTTGTTTTACATGTAGACATGATGCATATATATAGATGTTCTTGCAGAGATGGTCCATTTTGTCATTTGAAAGGGAACGACTTCCTGTTAGGTTGATCTTCTGCCAGAGTTGCTAATATGTTTTTTTCTAATGTGTTTTCAACTACCAGATTGAAGTGTTTGGTCAAATGGCCATTCAAGGGTATATATATAGAGGCCGAAAGCCTGTCCACTGGAGTCCATCTTCACGTACTGCTCTTGCAGAGGCTGAGTTGGAGGTAATTTTCATCTTTCTTTAATCACAATTGGCTATATCTCTATTGACCTATTTTTAGAGAAAATCCTGTGATAATTTTCATTCTTACATGTGGCATTTTGGAATTGGTGAATTGTTTTCTTTGACTCTGATACAAAATTAGCATTCTTTCTTCACGTGCAGCAGTTTTGGTGCAATTAAGATAAACTTTTTCCTACATACATACAACTCTCAACAGAAACTAATTGTTTGAGTCTTAAAATCTCAACAGAAACTAGTTGTTTGAGTCTTATCTAAATGCTTAATGGATATTCCCCTACTGCAGACGATGATGTAGAATTGCCTTGGAGTCTGAGTTGTATTTTTTTTTGATAAATAAATGAACATTTTATTAATTTGGAAAAATTAGCACATACAAGCAGCCCTTGGAGAGGCACGGGCTGCGATCTCTCCACTAAAGAAGAGAATAAAAGTAATAAGTTACAGTTGTGCCCGATAGAAAACTTCCCTAGCTGCCCCTTGCTTGGGTAGACAGTCTGCCGTAGCATTTGCTGATCTCCCCACCCATTGTATTTTTAGGTCCATGTTTCTTATCAGCACCTTAAACATTTTAGTTTCATTCCTGAAGCACCAACTTACTGACTCTGGGTCTTGCAACCAGCTTATTACAACGTTTGAGTCACCTTCAACTATTGGCTGGTTCACCCCTAATTGAGCTGCAAACTGTACACCTTGCAGGGCAGCAAATATTTCTGCTCTAGTAGAGTCTCCCACTCCTAACGGACCTGAGAAGATAAATATCACATTCCCGACTTCATTCTTCAACACCCCACTTACTCCAGAAGGACCTGGGTTTCCTAGAGTGCTTCCATCAAAATTCTACTTCAGGAAGCCTGCAGGAGGTAATGACCAGCTTGGAGTCTGAGTTGTATTGCTAAGAGAGTTTATCTCCTCCCTATTTGTATCTTCTGTTTATGAATTAATGAATTTCAGTTATTGATAAAAAAGTTGTATTTTTTTGTCTGATCCATGTTCCAAGGAGGGGTGATCTCCTGGTGAAGCAAATCTGGTAATCAAGGGTTTCATCTGAAGTTACATCTATTTTTTTTTATCAGCAACTGTGAATTTTCAATAGATTAGAAAAATGGTATGGTATAGTGCTGCTAGGACAGTTTTTTGAACATTCCCTATGTACCTCATTTTGTTGTACATGTTTTTGTTTTCTCATTAATACAATCATACTTTACCTTATCTAAAAAAAAAAGAAAGATAAATACATGGAAATATATTTTGTTTGCACATATTCCCCCTCTCTCTCCCCTCCCCTCCTAGGTGGCCAAAAGGTCATCATGGCAAAGAAGAATCTTATATTTTGTTAAATTTGTATATTATATTTGAAAAATATTCGTATGTATTGCGCTTCTAGTGATCTTTGCAAATATGCTGTAGATAAATACATGTGAACATGTAGTCACCCTTCTAGTTCTTTTTCTTTGGTTGTTTGATTGTAAGTATTGATGCAGTATCCGGAAGGTCACGTTTCAAAGAGCATATATGCCATCTTCAAATTAGTTAGTGCTCCTCCAAGTGCATATGGCTTGTTAGAGGAGTTTTTTCCACATTTATGCTTGGCTGTATGGACTACTACTCCTTGGACTATCCCAGCAAATGCTGGTATGACTTTTTGCCTTTCAATGAAACAATTCTTAAGAGTTTTTCTTATTACATTATATAATTATTTTTTTTTTCAGTGCAAGTGATGTGTTTGTGTACCTCCTTGTTTAACTTTCAATTAGGTATAAGCATGGTTTGCAATTTCAGCTTCGATTGACATTTTTCCATGTAGGGATGGGGAAATTTTGTGAAAACATGGAATTAGTTTAGTTTTTTCTTCATTTCGATAATTCTAATTTTACAATGGTATATGTTATTTTATTGCTATTAGAGTTGCTAATCCCTTTTCCACTCACACCCTCTGCATGCTCTTCATTTAATAACTTCTCAAAATAGTTTTTCCATCTTCCTCATCTTTTAGAAGTTAGATTGTGCATTTAAATTTTTGTCTTTTGTTTCTTTCATATTTCCCAGTTTATAAATTTCATCCTTTCCCTCTTTAGTGCCTGAATTATGATATATTTCATTATATGCCTTAAGTTTAATTTATGAAAGTGAAGCAACAGAAAAAAAACAGATTGATTTCATTGTAAACCCATGTACTCCATGGTGAATCTGACTATTGAAAAAATTCTCCCTTGTTTATTGCCTTTTTTAGCACTCTAGTCCGGATCTGTTGGGCACCTGTTGTAACAGTTCAATCTCCTCTCTAGAGGGTGTCATGATATGCTCTTCTAGAACTCTCTAATTTCATATATAGAGTAGGCGTGTAGGGGGTGTAAGATCCTATTAGGGTTTCTAGACTTGGGAGTCCTAAGTTTATTCATGGGATGAACAACTTCCTTTCACTTTGAGATTTGAATTTGAATCTCCATTCCATTCTCTCTAGTGTGTGATCATGATTAAAACATCTTTTTAATGTTGCAATTAGGTCCAACAATTCCTTTGTAATTAGCCTAAAGTCCATGGAAATTATCACATAGGACCTTCCATGCAAATTTAATTGCAAGTCTATCCTTCTACACTATATTGTCCAACTTTGATTGGTTGTAAGTTGTATAGTCATTGTTTGAACTTTGAACCAATCACCATCAAATGGTATTTAACCAAGAGTTATTTTTTATCTAGGAAAGAACCTGAAGGTCACTTACTCAAAAACTCTTTCAAAGTCGATGCTATCATAAGATCACCTAAGTGCATCAAGGATTCCCAGTTCAAACTAGATATTACCGGACAAGTCCTAAGAAACTTTCTTGAGAGTCCTATTGCCATAAGGACTCTACCCATATTCACTTTAGAGTCATTTGGAACCAGAATGCTAGAGTCTTAGTGCAAATGGGGTTCCTCCTTTGGTGTTCCAATTCAACTACGAGTCTTCCTACATTCATCTCATGTCACCTTGAGACTTGTATAGAAGTTCTACTCTCATTGGGATTTCTTTGCTGGAGTCCTGGTCCAATCAGGATTTGTGGTTGGAGTCTTGGAGTCAACTTCTTCGTGGTGATATTCTCCTATTGTTTGAGCTTGTGCATCCCTTATTGGACATTCCCAAAACCATTGAATCAATCTTAGCCTTCCAATGTACAGAGTATGTACAACCTCTTTGTGACCAAACTCATGATTGGGGGTGGATTCAAGCTGAGTCGAAGCAAATATCTAGCAATTTGAACTCGGCTCAGTAGAAAAACATGAGCCTTAAGTTCAAGCTCGAGCTTGATTTGAGCTGGAGATGTGAGCTTGAATTCAACTCGACTCAAAAGCTCATATCTTTGAGCTCAGCTTGACAGTGAACCAAATCTTCATATAAAAAATAACAAGTTATACATGTAAAAAACTATACATATAAAAATATTTAATATTATATATTAAAATTTTGCATATAGTATATTATTTATAAAATATTAAAAATATTATATATACAATAAGCTCATTTAGGCTCTTGAGCTTCGCAAGCCGAACATTATTGTGCTTGATCTTGGCTCGATTAGCAATCAAGCCTATATATTGGGATTGAACTTAGCTTGAAGCTTGGTCTAGACCAAGTTTAAAAGCTTGGGTTGTGTCCATTCCTTCTCATGATAGGTCAAAGTACGGATCATAGTCATGATTGTCCCCCAAGTCTAATGATAGAAAAGACTTTACATCTGAGTGTTTCATGCCATTGATAGTGATGAATCCTGTAAGAAATCAAACTCAGCTAGATCATATCAGTGTAAATACTTGTACACACCCACATGATAGTTTGGCGTCTCACATCAGTGATTGAGAGAATCACCACACCATCTTATAGAAACCATCAAAGCCAACCATATAAGTTGGCTGCCGAGGATCACCCATGGTTGGGATGTTTAAAGTTTACAAGGAACTGGTTCACTCAGTTCTTCCTTGCTAAGTCCCACTTATCACCTGAATGTCCCACAATGTTACTCGAGGACCTTTTGTGCTGACATAATCATAACTATAAATGAAATGCCTCATAAACAAAAGTCTCACTTTTATCAATAGAAAAGCAAGTACAAAGATACAAAATGGCTTTAAATGAGCATATGGAAATCATATTTCTAAGAAATCAGTTTCATTTTAACCTCTTTTCTTATGGTTTTATATTTTTCCAAGTTTTCTACATTTTTAGTCTTTTTCCAATCTATATTGTATGCTTGTTTTACTTTGATAATGTTCCCAAGTTTTCTCATTTTTTGTCCTTTTCATTTTGTCTTCTAATTCCCTTGTACTAATGAATGGCATTTAACTTCCCTTAAAAACGGGGAAAAAAAGAAGAGGAAAACTAATTGGTAAGTATCAATTGCTCCATCTGGACTGACCTGGAATAACTTTCTTTTCCTTGTTCAGCTGTTGCAGTAAATTCTAAACTTCAATATGCTGTGGTTGAAATGTGCTCATCCAACAAAGATCCTTCAACTTCAGAGGGGAGTGGAAGACAAAAGCTTGGTAACGTTCTGAATGGGCAAGATAAGCCTTTCCTTATCGTGGCAGCAGATTTAGTGCCAACACTGGAATCAAAATGGGGAATGAAGCTTGCAGTCAAGACAACATTACTGGGTTCAGATCTTGAAAATTGCAGGTTGTCAATTGGAATAGAAAAGTGTGGTTCTTCTACCAGTATTATATCTATTTTAGCTACTTTTAGATGAATATTCAGTATTAGTTCCTAGCATTTTTAACTGTGCAATACTGTGTAATTAGGTATGTTCATCCAATAGATAACAGGGAATGCCCAGTTGTTATTGGAGGAGACTACATTACGACTGAGTCAGGAACTGGACTAGTCCACACAGCCCCTGGTCATGGTCAGGAGGACTATGCAACTGGCCTAAAATATGGATTGCCCATATTTTCTCCTGTAGATGATGATGGAAGGTTTACTGAAGAAGCTGGGCAATTTTGTGGGTTAGATGTCCTAGGTGATGGTAATGATGCTATTGTGAAGTACTTGGATGAACATATGTCGATTATTATGGAAGAACCATACAGTAAGTTACTTCATTCTTATGGAGTTGAATAAGAAATCATGTTGCTTTTACTCCTTTCTTATTTGGAGAATGTATGAATTTTCATTTAATTAACTTCTTGGTTTCATTTTTGTCTTTATAGAACACAAGTATCCATATGATTGGAGGTCAAAAAAGCCTACAATATTTAGAGCAACCGAGCAATGGTTTGCTTCAGTTGAGGGGTTTCGGCAGGCTGCTTTTGATGCAATTGATCAAGTGGCATGGATTCCCGAGCAGGTGCTCTTTTTTCTTTTCACCACTTAACTCTATACATAAAAAAACTATGGCTCCCTTCGTGTGAATGGAAAGATTCTCAAGACACAGATCCCCTATTTTTTCTCCTTTTTATTGATAATAGGAATTTGTTAAAGATCAAGTTGAAGAATAATAAAGGGGTTAAGAAAAAGAATAAAAAAATCAACGAATGATGGAAAGCTAAACCTTATGAAAACACTATGCCTCAGAAGATGTTCTATACAAAAAATACAACCAAACACCTACTCCCACTGAAACCCAATAATCCTTTGAGAGCCCTCATTCAATGTTTCATCCCTTAATCCTCTTGCTAGAAGTTATTAAAGTACTCATATGCTCATTGATGTCCTCTTAGAAACAATTGCCTTCTCTTTCTTAACACACTATTCCCCTATCTTCTTTTGGATAAACCTTTTTTTAGCTTTTCTTGTCTTATCTAGTTCTGATGACTCCCTCTAGCATGTAGCAGTGTGACCTGAGATAGCCACGATATAAACATCATTCGTTTTGACCTTTTAATGCAGGCCTGCAACAGGAAAAGGAAGATGACTTTTTTTTTTCCAATTTGGAGTTCCTGAGTAAAGCTGGGATTTTTCTATATGGGGTCCACTAATTCATGTGATCTCTAGAGAGAACATAAAGGAAAATTTAGGATATGGGGGGAGAAAAGTTAATTACATTTATATTTGAGTATTGAGTTGAATTTTGATTTTGTGTCTAGTTTTTAAGTTTTGATAGCATTGGTAGATCATGTTAATATGTTTTAGATTAATGAATTGCTCTATTTGGGCTTCATCTTAGGTGTTTAGGACAAAAAGTTAATTGTTTCTGTTTTCTTAAGTTTCCTATTTGTGCTAGGGATCCTGTTTAGACAGGATCAAGGGCTAGCCATCGTTAATGACTTTAAATAAATTTGAGGCCTTTACCTGCAACTAAGTATACTTCTTATTCTCTATTTTTTGATAATTATTACCTTTTATTTTCTCTCTCTTTTATTCTCATTTATTCCTCTCTTTTCACTGTTGCACTCCTTTTCTACTTATCTCTTCCTATTGATCTAAAAAATCTACTTTCTCTTCTTTATTTGTCCTGATTGGTAACAATAAAATTTTATCCATGTTGAAAAGAATGGTATCAATACAATACAGATGTGCCAAGCATCCATTGGTGTGATAGGGTACACCAGATACCCACGTCTTCATTCAAACCTTACATTCAACGCTCATAGGGGACAATCCCCGAACGGAGAAGTCTCCTATTTACCCCTTTCCTGGCTGATGCATCATCTAGGTTGTTGGCTGTTATTCCCTTGCTAGTTGTAATATTTCACTCACTATATATCTGTAAATTCAAGAGTCATTGTTGGGATTGTTAAGCCATCCTGCTGCTGCCCTTGAATCCTCTTCCACCACAATATTTAGTCGAGAGTTTTGGGCAATATTATCCCTTATAAAATAACCAAAAGTTTATCGTTCCTGGAGTTCCTGTAGCCTGTAGGGCTTGATACCCAGCACTCTATGAGTACGACTTATATGAAACAACACCCCTCAGAATTTAATTTAGTGTGGTAGGGTGGTCATGTAAGCCATGATAATAGATGGATAACCTAGCTGATGAAAGTGATGCCTTTGACTGCCAACCTTGGAAGATATCATTTGTGGGGAACTGACCAAAGACTCTCAAAGATTTTACCTAGTATACAGGCGATGTACATTTCAAGGCATGTGGCTTGCCTAGGCCCAGGTGCAGCCCCTTTACAAAGGCGTGCACCTGGTGTGCCTTGCACTTCATCCCAGGCATGCACTTTAGCTTTTTTGCAATTTTTTAAATGATTATATCAATGACACACCTGGGCTACTTTTTGTTGAGTGAATAGAATAAATTCTGTAAAATCTATTCATAAAGCTCCATAGCTTCTGTTGGGACATTTTCTGATTTTGGGAACTCCTTAAGGTTGTGTTTGGTTTGAAGGAAAAGGTTGGGACACCTATACACCTTGTATTAGGTTTCCCTACCTTTCCCTTCCTTTCCCTACCTTTTCTTTCAAACCAAACACAGCCTAAAAGTTTAGCATACCATTAAGTTTGTTTCGTGTGGACCTTCTACAGTTGATTCTTATTAATCAGTGAACATAGAAGTTGATTGACTTTAAAGAGAGCAGATCTCTTTAAGTCTTCGATGCACTTGTTTATTTAAATGTCTTTTCTTCCTTTTCTTGTTCATCTGTTGTTGGTTTCATCTTTTGTTCGTATAATCATAATCCAGGCTGAGAACAGAATTTCTGCAATGATTTCTACGCGCTCTGATTGGTGTATTTCACGGCAAAGGATTTGGGGAGTCCCAATTCCTGTTTTTTATAATGTGCACTCAAAGGAACCTCTAATGGATGAAGAAACTATTGATCATATCAAGAGTAAGAATTTAACTCAATGATTTCTTCCTTTTTCTTCAAATTACTTTTAGCTTTTCATAATAAATAAGAATTCTCTTGTCTTAGAATTTGTTAGCCTTATAATTGATAAACAAGAAAAAATGCAGCAGCTTTATAAGCTCCCAGAAAAGTTTAACATAAAATGATGATATTTTGCAGCTTTTTAATGCCAATTTTCTTTTTAAAATTTCCTACCTTTCGTTGTTTGTGGAACTGTTAATTCCCCATCAACCACTGGATATGATTCTTCAATCCATGCACACATGTTCTGTTCATTGAATAATCTTGCCCGAGAAATTACATGATGTATGTTATCCACTTGATATTTTGGCTTTTGTCATTTTTATTATTAAATGTTGTCATATGATTGAGAATATGCTTTTATAGTTTTGTGCCTTTTTTTCTTTTTGTTTTGAAGTATTAGTGACTTGTATGTGTATCATATCAGAATAGCAGGCCAATCATCATTAAATTCCTATTTGTTCTTTTATGAAAAGATTTTTTTTTTTAAATATAATGTGTGAAAATTTGAGAGAAAAATGAATTGATTGTATTGTCTTGGAAGGAGCATATACACAACTTTATATAGAATTACAGAGCTAATTTACAGGGTGATAAAATAGGAAACTAACTTTTCCTAAAAAACTAATTTCTATATTAGTGGGATTCTCCAATTAATATCCCATGATTCTAGGAAATTAAG